TATGTATATGTGTGTGATTATAGGATATGATTACGTATTTCAACATCGATAATAATAAGAAATGGGGTCTGTAAGATTTAAAAAAAAATGTTTTTGAAACAAGTTTCTTATTTTCACAATGTCTGCGCTTGCACATTAAAACCAGTAATATTTTGTAAGATTCTTACAATTTTAAAGATTTGTTTTCTATGTGAATATATAGTAAAATGCAATTTATTCCTTTGAATTAAAGCTGAATTTTCAGCATCATTATTCCAGTTTTCAGTGTGATTTTTAAAAAATCTTTTGTAACATTATAAATGTCTTTGTCGCCTTTGATCAATTTAATGCTTTCATGCTAAATAAAAGTATAAATTTCTTTAAAAACAAGGGCGTGGTAATGAATGGTAGTGTACATATAGTGTACATATATGGAATTTTAGGACTTGAATATGTAATAATGGAGAGATAAATTTTATATGGCACATTACTTAATTATTTATTTTTATTTTTAATATTTATATAATGTGCTTGATGTTTTTCTTGTCCTTTAGTCGATTGTCAAACCTGCAAAATTTACTGAAAGAAAATGTATTATCCCCGTGGGATGATAAAGATGAGTACTGCATTGGTCTCCCAGCAGATATTGTCTACATTTGGATTAAAACTGTCAAAACTATCTCCATTGAACATATCTGCTCTGAATTTGTCTCCGGGACACTTCTTTACAGAAATTCACCATAGTTTTATGCTAAAATTCTACATTTATTGCAATAAGATTATTTTATTTAAAACAATAAAAGTAGTAATAAATAAATTGTGATTAGCAAATCAGTTATTAATATAAGTATTTATTAAAATCAGAAACAGAAGGATTGACTGATTGAGATCCAGTATGGTTGTGTGTTGGCTGTTTGGTGATTTTTCATAATTGCTGGTCTTATATACTGTATGTAGAGAAACAGTTTGTCAGGCTTCTTCTGCTAAACGTTTGCTTGCCTAATAAATGCATATGATGTAAATCCATTATGCATAAGTGTTTCTCGTGTCTCATGATAGAGTCCTATCATCAGGAAATAAGCATGAGTAGAGGTCGAACGATAGTGGATTTTGCCGATACCGATAGCTAGGTTGGACCACACTGGCCGATACCGATTAATTAACCGATAGTTTTTAAAATGGATACTGAACAAAAACTAAAATAATGCTTTATTAAAAAAACAGTACTGAACCATACTAGTAGTAGTAGTAGTAGTAGTAATAATAATAAAAATGTTGAAATTAACACACTCTAACAAGGAACAATACTTTCATTACACTGCTTGCATTAATCTTAATGCTACAAATGGACTCTTATTTTAAAGTGTTACCATTTCATTTCAACATGTTACCATGTCATGCTTAAAGATGCACATTTTTAAATATATACACAAAGGCCATAGCATAAAATTATTGAGATCTATATTATAGCTCTATAAATGAAGCATTAACAACAATTCGCGACAAATATAATGTTATTTAATGGAAAACTATGTGAATGGCGCTCTGTGGCGTGGCAGGATTTTCTGTCGGCTGCATTTAAATCCGCGTCTGAAGTTTCCCGCTCTGTTCAGCGTGCAGTATCACGTGTCTAAACAAATAGCACGTGCTGTCAGTGATTTCAACCACTAGAGGCCGCTCTCGTACTGTATAATGACAGCAGACCCTTCTCAGCCGTTCCAGCAATGGACGCAACCCGGAAAACTATCGGCATGGATTTTTGCCGATAACCGATAGTTCCAGCAAAAAACTATCGGTGCCGATTAATCGGCAAAACCGATACATCGGTCGACCTCTAAGCATGAGTACTGCATGTTTCCACAGATTTGCCCAGCTGAGGAGCTTAAATCTTTCTCACAATGGGCTGGGCGTCTTCCCGGAGTCGCTGTGTGAGATCCAGACTCTGACGGAGCTCTATCTGTCCTGCAACGGCCTCAGTGCTGTCCCGGCCCGCCTCGAAAACCTCCAGAGGTCAGCACACATCACACCACCTTACTGTGCACAACACACCGTCTGCGGCTGCTCTTTTGGCCAGACTTTAACTGGATAATAATATACTGTTGTTTGTTTGTTGCTGTTGCTGTAGCTGATCTAAAACAGAAAATATGTGCTTGTTTAGTTGAACTCATATTTCAAGTCACTGCTCCTTTTTGTTCCTGCCAAAGTGACCTCTCTCTTTTTGTAATCAGCTTGAAGTGCACAAAGGTCATTTGAAAAACATCGCACAAAATAATGAGAGCGATTATGGGTTATAATCTAAATAATCCTTTGATTTGCATGATTGTGTTTAAAATATTCAGTGCTTTATAGCACCGCTGCTCCTGCGATTACAGTCAGCTATATTCAAGTGCGCTACCAAAGAGCCTGTCAAACTAACTTCTTTTTTCCCCCCTGAATGAGCCAGTGAAATGCATGAAGTTCAGCTGTGCATACTACGCTAGCAGATTAAATCAAGCATAAAAATCAGCCTAGTTTTACTGCTCTCAGCTCTGCTTATATGAGGTGCTCTGAACATGACGGAGGCCAGCAGTGTCTTACTTAAATTATACTATATTATTTTACATTATATTAATATAGAATGCATGATCTCTTATATAATGTTGCCTTAATAAATTAACCATTATAATATAATATAATATAATATAATATAATATAATACAGAATGCTCTATTCTATTATATTATATTATAGAATGCTTGATCTCATAAAATGTTGCTTTAATAAATTAACCATTGTAATATATATTATAGTATGTTTATAATATAATATATAAACTCGCAAATTCTATTAAATATAATTGTTTCATAAATTCACCATGATATGATATGATATGATATGATATGATATGATATGATGAGGATTAATTTATTAAAGCAACATTCTGCGAGGCCATGGATTCTGGTTAAGTGTTGTTGTTTTTTAGGCATGATGCAAAATGGCAAGAGAGATATGAAAAAAAGACACCAGTGTTCAATAAATGATTGCATTTATTAATAATAATATTTATGCATTTGGCAGGCAATAAAAAATGGTTCATATAAGAAATATAGTTCTTCAGCATAACCGTAACCATAACATTGTAGATATGCTATATGGCCAAAAGTTTGTGGACATAAGTTCTGGGACAAGTATAAAACAAAAAAAAGAATTCTATTGTAATGTGATTTTTATGTCATAAAAGAATTTCAAATCTGTTAATTTTAATAAAAATACCCATGCCTATAAATATTAACAATATTGACAAAAATGTAAAAACTAGCATCTTTAATATCATAGTAACCACTTTATCATTTTGCATATTTTAAAGTGAGTCTGTTTGGCTGTGCATTCATAGACTGTTATGTTCAGTTTACAGACGCTGTGTTTGGATGGAAATCGCCTGGATTCTCTTCCGGAGGAGCTGGGCAGCCTCGCGCAGCTCTGCAGCTTGGGACTCTCCTTCAATGATTTCCCTCTCTCCATATCTGTCTATCTCTGTGCGTCATGCTGTCAGATTTACTCGCCTCCATCTCCTTCTGTTCCTCCTCTCTCTCTTCTGTCTGTCACCTGTCTGTGTGTTATTACTCTTAGCTCAGACTTTATGCATAATGCAGGATCAATATGCAATAGTAATGTAATAAGATCAGCTATCAGTAATCACAGAGGTGACGGCAGCACAGCTCTGTTTGGTGGCTCTGTCACACACAGCCAGACTACAGCACTCAAATCTGGTGCTTTTTGTAAATTATTCTGGCCAAAAATGTCCATTTTTGACAGGAAAAGACCATCTGTCTGACATGTATAGCATCCAGCCACAGTTTGCTATGTTTTCTATGTTGTAAATGGGCAGTGAAATAGATCATACTACAATAATAGATTGATGTAAAAAATCATTTAAATAATGATATGACTATCTCCACTTTACTTTGTACACAAAATAGCAGAAAATGTTTATAGATACTGATCGTCCACAGACATAACTCAGAAAACAAAACAAATATTTTTATTTGAAGAAATTAATACTTTTATTCAGCAAGGATGCATTAAAGTGATGAAAAGTGACAGTAAAAAAAATTAGAATGTTACAAAATACTTCTGTTTCAACTAATGCTGTTTTTGTAACTTTCTATTCATCAAGGAAT